TAGCAATACATTTAGTAATAATAACAATACATTTAGTATTGAAACATTGTTCTTTAATAATAAAGTCTTTTAATTAATAAGTTATTTAACAATTTAAAGAACGAAAATTTAATTACCAATTTACAATATGAGACATCAGATAGATTGCATACATTTAAACAAATAAAAATCAATATCATGAAATGAAAAAAAAAATGCATTAAAAACAATCAGAACTCACACATGTGGTATAAAACAAATTCCTTTTAATAACATTCAGATACCAAATTGGGATTTACTTCGAAATTTATATATAAATCGGGCCGAATCGTCAAACCAATCACAAAAGGCAGGTGACAGCACATTGCAGTGGGGTGTATATAAAGGATGTCCTAGGGCAGGGGTTTCCAAACTTTTTCGGTCGCGGGCCAAAAATTGAAAAAAAAAAAAAGTTTGGCGGGCCAAGAAAAATTTTGCGAAACTTTTAAAAACAATATACAAGTATTACAATTTAAATATGTTAATGAGATGAATGAAATTGAGATTTCATTTTTAAAAGTTCCTTATAGTGAGGTTCGAAGTGGAAGTCCTCCTCACTATAAGGAATCACACTCCTCACTCTCTCCTCACTATAAGGAATCACAAATGTTCATCTGTCAGTCTACTTCTGAAATAATTCTTTCCAAGATTCATAGTTGAAAACCCTTGTTCATATATATCAGATGAAGCAAACACAGCACTGAATTTCTGGCCGTGAAATATTAAATTTGGGAAATCTACTTTCGATATTGATTTGTAAAACTCTAACTTTGGCATATTTAGAAACAACTGCTGGAGATGATTGTTAGAATGTAACTCAATTAATTCAACTTGCAAATCCTTTCCGATTGAAAGCTGTCTGGGCTTGCTATTTCCGTCGATTTAGGTTTTTTAGAACAAAAATAGAGAAAGTAAAAAGATCATCAGTCCTTTGAAAAAAAGGAAGAAAAAAAAAATAATATTTAATCAAAGTAGAAAAGGAGATGGATATATAATATAGTTTGGAGACCCCTGTCCTAGCGCATCGGAAAGCATTTCAATCGTTATGTATATTCTTTCTATATATACACAGTCCGCTCTGCCAAAGGCGGTTATTCTGGCTTTGGACAGGTGGTCACATTAATGTGACTGGACTGTGTATAAATTATATAAATGTTCTTATACTTTTGTATGTAGCCAAATAAAATTATTTATCATTCTTATAAAAGGAGTCGTCTATATTTCTATCAGAAACACGGCATATTTCGTAACTCAAAAGCAACATACGTCTTAAAATCTCTCTCACTTCTTGAACAGCTCTGAGCTTCTTTTCAGGCGTCTCTGTCAGTTCCACTTCGCATTTTCTGAGCACGAATTCCGGTATGCGATCCATTTCAAAGGGAAGGATTTCTTCACTTTCATTGGTTAACATCTTAAACATCTTAAAAATAAAGAAATTTTATTATTATTATTATTATTATTATAAAATGAGGCGTGATATTTCTATCATTTGTACTTAGCGTCATAAAAATATTTTTAAATGTTTGTTACATAATATGTTCTTATATTTTTATATGCATTATCATCATCAGTGGCGCAACAGCCCCATTGAGTATGGTGGGTCAAGGCTATCTGCCTACTGGCAAATTTCTAGACGAGATGTTTTCTTTTTACAGGATAGTGTTGTCAGCCTTATGCCCAACACTCTACAGCCAACGTTCCAGCCAGACTGGAACTTGCATGTTTAAAGTGTATTCCGAACCACTACAAGCATCCATGGCACCGGCAGGATTCGAACCCGAAAGCTGTGGCTCCGAGTGCCAGAGCGCTAGTCGCTCGGCCATCATTGTATTCAAGCCCATTTTTGTATGCAGCTATAAAAAATATTTATTATTATTATAAAATGTATTGTGCATATTTTTATCATTTGTAAGTAACGTCTTAAAAGCATTTATATATATATATATATATATATATCATATAATATGCTTTTATATTTTTATATTCAGTCATATGAAATTTTTCTTCAATGGTGCAACTGGGTCATGGTGGGCCAAGACCGTCTACCTACTGGCAGGTTTTGAAATATGAGAGGTTTGCTTTTTATGAGTTATGTTTGTCAATCCAACGCCCAATGCTTTACAGTCATATGAGACCGGGACCTACGGTTTAAAGTGTGTTCCAAATCACTACAAACGTCCATGTCATTGCCGGGACTCGAATCCGAAACCTGCGGCACCGAGCGCCAGAGGGCTAGCATATAAAATTATTTATTATTATTATAAAAGGTGTCATGCAAATTTCTATCATTTGTACTGAACGTCTAAAAGCATTTTTAAATATATAATATGTTATTATAATTTTATATTCAGCTATGAAATAAAATTCTATATAAAATTTGAAAATGTTGACATTGTAGTGATGAACATTGTATTGTATTCATTAATCCAAGAAAAGAATGTTTCATATTTTTTAATTTCACAAATACTACTACTTTATCTACATATTTGAAATCAAGTCAAGTCAAACCAAAACTGATGTTGATAAAAACTGGTCTAAAGAAACTAAGTACTTAGGAATTATTCTTGATAGTAAACTTAACTACAGAGCGCATATCTACAACCTTAGAAATAAATTCAATACTCAATTTAGAATTCTCTACCCTTTAATCAATAGAAATTCAGCTTTACCTCTTAATCTCAAAATTCTAATATATCTCTATTATCTTCGTCCAGTATTAGCTTATGCAAGCCCAGTTTGGGGTTCTGTCGCACGTACAAATTTTGAAATTATTCAAAGGCTTGAGAACAAAACTCTCAGCATGTTAACGAATTCACCCTGGTACTTTCGTAATGACGCTATTAGACGAGCTCTCTCGATTCCAAGTTTAAGACAATTTGTTCACAAAATTTCTACTAAATTCTATAATGATATGCGAAACATCAATAACCCAGTTTTAAATATCCTACAAAATTACGATTATCATATTTCTTCCCGCAAACATAGAAAAAGACCTCGCGCTGTTCTAAATATTTTAAATTAATTCCTTACAACTGCCTAGATGAAAAAAGTTCGCTTTTGTTATTATTATTATTTTTTTTTTACATGCAACTGATTTCATTAACATCTTCAATTTTGAAATTTTTGTATTTTTTAATTTTATTAAATAAATAAATCTTTTTTTAAAAAAAGGGCATTTAATTATCTATTTTTCTTATTAACTCAAAGGGCATGAGACCACCGCTATGTTTTAACATTTTACAGTGAAGGAGCTAGTGGCCGCTACGCGGCCAAGGATCTCCGTGTTAATCTACAATAAGATGTTGATAAAAAGTATGCGAAAAAATGTCTTTTCTCGTAATATTTGTTTTCGAAATAAATTGAAATTATATGACATGAAAACGATATAAACAGGAAATTCACGTGAATAAATAAATAAAAAATCAATAAAAATAAAAATAAATTACATATTTTTAAAGTGATCAAATTTGTTTACAATTAATTTTATTTTTTAATTTATCGAAAATTAAAATTGCTTAGTTATTTTCATGAATTTATTTTTTCAATGAAACCAAAATACTTAATATTATAATTAAAAAACTAACCTTCTAAAACCTTCTTTAAAAAAAAAAAAAATCTTTAATTTATGTAATATCCAATGATTAATTTATCGTGCATTGCTTTATGCTTTTAAAATTACAAATTTTTAAAATTCAAAAAACAAACCCAAATTAATTTAAATTTTAATTTTTAATACCAGATATTATATTCTAGATATATTCCTTGCATACCACATATTATAATAATTATAATTTTATATTATATTATAATTTATAGTATAATATATATTATGATTTTATTATAATTTTATTACACATATTATTACCACATATTATAATTCTTTATTTTCCTTTTTTAAAATATTCAAAATTAAATTATACATTTATTTATTTATAATTTTTTTATGTTGGTGGTACATTTTTTTCACTTATGCTTATCACGAGACTGTTCATAATAGAGTAATAAAGAAAAAACATTTTTTTGAAGTAGTTTTCCCTCTTTTTTCCTGTTGTAGGGCAAAAGCCTTAAAAATCCCGCTAGACAACCTAAATGTGGATGCGAAAATCTCATACACATTGTAACAATAGTCTCACTTTAGAATTAGTGTGAAAAAGACATTCAAGAAAATTGAAGTAAATTCATTCATAAAATAGTAAAAAGAAACCCTGTTAATTACTTAAAAATACCAGAAAATTCTATCATTCTGTTAAATTATGCTACTATTACTATTACTTTTTTTTTCATTGAATAAATTATAGTTACTAAAGATAGGAACTAATAATTTATCTATATCCCAAATTATTATTTGGTTTAAGTATACTCAATAGATGGCGGCACGAATTATTCCAATAGATTTTTTTTCTTAATAGATGGCAGCACTAGAGTTTTTTTTATAAATTTGATCAACTACAGATGTAGTGCCACATCAATAATAAAAAGTAAATAAATAAAAATTATTTACCGAAAAAATTGCAAGCATTTATTAAAAAAAGAAATTGCATTATATAATATAATATTAATATAATATTAATAATTAATATTAATAATTTAAATTCAAATATTTATTTAAAAATTATTTCAAATTATTTTAATTTAATTCAAAAATTTTATTACAAATATCTGTGCACAATTAACGAATAATCTTTTTGCTGTTGTATTTTAATGTTAATTTTTCAAAATTAACATTAAGTTTTCTAAAATTCTCTAATTAGGTATTAGAAAATTGTTAATTTTTACAAATGTTTCATTCTAAAACCCAAAATCTTTTTTTTTTTTCTATTTAGATATATACTTAATAACTAAATCTTGAGAGTTCAAATATATCTTCTTCATTTCATAAACAAAATTTCGTTTCATTGATCAGTTTTTTGCTTCCTTGATCACTTTCAACGTTTCTGATTGGTTTATTTTTATCTTAAATTTCTTCAACGAGTTATTCTGCCAACGGCCGTACCATGCTGAATATACCGGTTCTCGTTAGATCACCGAAGTCAAGCATCATTGGGCGCGGTCAGTACTTGGGTGGGTGACCATCTGGGAACACCGCGTGCCGTTGGCAAATTTGGGACCTGAATGGCCGAGTGTCTGGCGCTCTGGCGCTCGGTGCCACAGGTTTCGGGTTCGAATCCCGGCGGTGCCATGGATGTTTGCAGTGGTTCGGAATCCCCTTTAAGCCGTAGGTCCCGGTCTCTTATGACTGTAAGAGCGTCACGGAGCAAAAGTCAGGCTTCTACCTACGGGTGCTCCATCACAACAGAAGCTGCTTCCTTCCCCTTCAATCATGAGTACGTGTGGGCTCGTGAGCTTGGCCAGCCAAGTGGGATAAGAAACAACAACACGAGTTATTCTAATTGCTTTATTTAAATTTATTTCATGAGCTTTTTTATACATTTTTTATTTCTTTCGGGAGTTTTTTAATGCATAATATTTATTTAAATATTTTTTAGAGGCTTTTTTATACATAATATTTTTAATTTCTTTCAGGAGCTTTTTTTATACATAATATTTATTTAAATTTCTTTCACAAATTAATAATTATATAATTAAATAAAGAAATATTCTAAAATTGTTCTAAAAGATCGTCTGGTGAAAGCAAAGCCAATTTTACTTCAAAGTGAAAACGAGATTTTTCAGTTAAAGAAAATCGTTTGGAATTCTATAGTTTTTTTTTAAATTTATTTATTTAAGATTGCGGTTATGCTTTTTATATTGTATGCTTAACTTATATATTAGACCAAAAGATTAATTTTTTTTTGTTGTGAATAAGTAAGTTATCTGTTTTTTAATTTTAATTTTTTTTTCTTTCTTTCTTTTTATTTCACATTTCTTTTTATTTTTATTTATTTTTTTTCTTCTTTTTTTATTTATTTATTAATTTTTATTTACATTAATTTTTCTTTCTTTTTTTCTTTTTATTATTATTATTATTATTTTTTTTTTCCCCTTTCTTTTTTTTCTTTTTTTTTTCTTTTTTTAATTTATTTATTAATTTTTATTTATATTAATTTTTTTTTATTTTTTTATTTTTTTTTATTTATTTATTAATTTTTATTTATATTAATTTTCATTTTTATTCGAATTTCTTTATTTCTTTTTCTTTTTATTTATTTCTTATTTTTTCTTTCTTTCTTTACTTTTATTTTTTATTTATTTTATTTATTTATATTTTGTAATAAGTAATATTTGTTTGTGAATAAGTAAGTTATCTGTTTTTTTAATTTTAATTTTTTTTTC